TTATTATTATTATTATTATTATTATTATTATTATTATTATTATTATTATTTTTATTATTATTATTATTATTATTATTATTATTATTATTATTATTATTATTATTATTATTATTATTATTTTTTATTATTATTATTATTATTATTATTATTATTATTATTATTATTATTATTAGTATTATTATTTTTTATTATTATTATTATTATTATTATTATTATTTTTTATTATTATTATTATTATTATTATTATTATTATTTTTTATTATTATTATTATTATTATTATTATTATTATTATTATTATTTTTATTATTATTATTATTATTATTATTATTATTATTATTATTTTTTATTATTATTATTATTATTATTATTATTATTTATTATTATTATTATTATTATTATTATTATTATTTATTATTATTATTGTTATTATTATTATTATTATTATTATTATTATTTATTATTATTATTATTATTATTATTATTATTATTTATTATTATTATTATTATTATTATTATTATTATTATTATTATTATTATTATTATTATTATTATTATTATTATTATTATTATTATTATTATTATTATTATTATTTTTTATTATTATTATTATTATTATTATTATTATTATTAGTATTATTATTTTTTATTATTATTATTATTATTATTATTATTATTATTTTTTATTATTATTATTATTATTATTATTATTATTATTATTATTATTTATTTTTATTATTTTTTATTATTATTATTATTATGATTATTATTATTATTATTATTATTATTATTATTATTATTATTATTATTTTTTATTATTATTATTATTATTTTTTATTATTATTATTATTATTATTATTATTATTATTATTATTATTATTATTATTATTTTTTATTATTATTATTATTATTTTTTATTATTATTATTATTATTATTATTATTATTATTATTAGTATTATTATTTTTTATTATTATTATTATTATTATTATTATTATTATTATTATTATTATTTTTTATTATTATTATTATTATTATTTTTTTTTATTATTATTATTATTATTATTATTATTTTTTATTATTATTATTATTATTATTGTTATTATTATTATTATTATTACTATTTTTTATTATTATTATTATTATTATTATTATTAGTATTATTATTTTTTATTATTATTATTATTGTTATTATTATTATTATTATTATTATTATTATTATTTTTTATTATTATTATTATTATTATTATTATTATTATTATTATTATTATTATTATTATTATTTTTTATTATTATTATTATTATTATTATTATTATTATTATTATTATTATTATTATTATTATTATTATTATTATTATTTTTTATTATTATTATTATTATTATTATTATTATTATTATTATTATTATTATTTTTTATTATTATTATTATTATTATTATTATTATTATTATTATTATTATTATTTTTTATTATTATTATTATTTTTTTTTTTTATTTTTCATATTAATATTTTTCAAGAAATAATTAGAAGTGAAAAACTAACTTTTTTTCTGAAAATATTGGAAGAAAAACTTTAATAGAATTAACTTTGAGAAGCATACAACAAAAAAATGTTTGCATCGAAACCGACAAAATTTGTAATTGTGGCAAACCATAATATATTGAAATTTTTGAAATGCTACAAATGCCTATGGCAAATATTTTATAATTTTAGATAATTATTGTAAAGATTTCAATAATGTACATAAAGGCCAAACTTTTAATAAGAGAAAAATAAAAAAATTCTTGGGATATTTTTCTTATTGAATAAATACTAGTTTTAAGATGAATATTTATAACTTTTGCTTTAAAATTTTTATTTTTAATTTGTAAGAACTTTAAAGTTCATTTTTTTGCCTGTGGCAAATATAATTTAGTCAATTACCTACTACTCTTTATTAAAAAGTTTATTAGTTATGATATGATATTAAAAAGTTTATTAGAAGTTATGTTTGATATATCGTCCACTATGCGTACTTTTTATATAAATCATATATATCTACATATATATATTGCGTATACAATGCTAGAAGCCCCTAGCGCGAATCGCACTAATTTCAAATATTTTTGAAAACTTTAACACAAAATTAGCATGTTGAGCTTCGTGATTATAAAAAAAACTAAGGTTGAGTTCCATCGTGTAACCCATGAGCAAATAACTTTAAGTCCCTGTATCACAGGTTTAATCATACGATTTAGAGAAAGTAAGTACATATATGTATTTTTATAAAAATACATAAAATATAAAATATAAATATATAAATTTTAAAATTTTTTTTCTCCGTGGAAATTCAATTTATCTCTGCGTTACGTAGTTATTCGTATGTTTAGCAATATTGCAACGCATATATGTTTTCTATGTTGCCCACTTTTGGAATTTTAGATTTTCTTAACGGTAATACATTGGGCCTTAACGTGTTAAAATATGAATGTATGTACATTAATAATTTATTTGATGTATCAATCAATAAGTAATGATTTGTAATGAACATGAACTTAAAGTTCAAGCCAAAAATGTAAACTTCACCTCTCTATGCATTGTTGGTTTGCTGTAGCACTTGTACTCTAGTTCATATTTTTATATTAAAGATCCAGTTACCGAGATCTGACATGCCCCGAAGATTGATAAACCTGTAACATACAGAAGTAAAATGAGATGAATTTTCATGAAAATCGGTTCAGCCAAAATTGAGATGCAGATCTACACAGGTAGAGCACACACCTACTGGTATGTGGTCGTTTGGTAAAAGCTGCAATAGTGCACGATAATATCTAAATATGTATGTTATTGCCTATAAGCGTATCTAAATACTACGTACATACATTCCAGAGTATTCCAAGGCTCTGTACGTAAAGTTCTAGCTATAGCATTATAATTTTACGTGTCCTTTACCTGTTAATAAGAGAAAACGTTGTTTCCTGTCATTTTGTTTTATTAACTTTACATTTATATTATTTCGGATGTGTCGGTCACCTCGGTTGTAAACGCCTTTAACCTTAATTATTATATACATATTAATGTCTTTACATCTAACAAGTCCCAATACTCAATTTTTTTTACGAAATATTATGAATTTTTGGCTTCGTTCCTGTTTTTTTTCTTTAAATGCCACTGATCGTGTCATATTTCTTATTATTTTTTTCTTTTTTTTACGTAAAAAAGAGTTTAATATTTTAAAAACTCTTAAGGATATTATACACATTTTTTAAAAAGCTTCCCATTTAAATTCTATTGCACGAAAAAGAAAGAATGATAGGAGGAAAGAAAAAATGATAAAAAATTTCAAATTCATATTTCAGTATGGTTTCAAATGTTAATGAGGAAGGATGTACGATTTTTCATGCACATTTTGTATTTCCCAATAAGGTAAGTTGAGTAGTTTTTAACAAAAATGTTAAAAAAAGTAATATAGGTTGACATATTTCAACAATTTGAATTATCTTATTTCGGTTACTTATAAAATTATTTATACGTTTCAAATAATTTCAGTTAGTTTTTAAGTTATTAAAAATAAATATGTATAAACCTACTTCCAATCAATTTTTTTTAAATAATTATCTTAAAACTATTTCAAACATGTTATATTGACGGCTTAAACAATTTTGTTGTGCTCTTCTTTCATATTTTATTAGCAGGTAAACAAGAGCAATTTATTTATAAAATGGCTCTGCCTGCTAAGATACTAATTATTTCAAAAATAAAAAAGATATTCGAATCCGGTCATAAAAATATATTATTGTCTTTTCCAAAACCTTTTAAATATTTTTTTACTTAGGTAATATATTAAGTTTTAAAAAAATTTCCCAAATAAAAATAGAGGTATTTTGTATAATACCTCTATTAATACAATATAAAATTTGTATTGGAATAATAATGTTTGATTGTATTTTAGATATTATTTTCTACTTCCCTTTTCAAATTTTTTCTTTACTATGTATTCATATCAATATTTAATAATTATCTTTTCATTAATTATATTTTCAACTTGACACTACAGTTACTTCCCATTTTTCTAATAGGTTAACTTACCCTATTAGAAAAAAAAGCTGTTCACTTAAAAATAATGAAATGCTTTCAGTAACATATAAAACGTGGAAGGCGATGGTTGTGCTTGTTGTTTTCCGCTGTTTTTGATGTATTTAAAATAATTATGAATGAAAATATTAACATATTTTTTTGATTTTTCAAATATATTTTCCAAATTTTACCTGCTTTATAATAAATGTGAATTTATTTTAATATTTCTTCTCAAAAAATAGCCATTCGATTTAAAAAAAACCCATATAAGATAAGGTCGTGCTTTCAAGTTTCTCTCTGAGCATTGGGACTTGTTGGATATAAAGACATTATACATATGCACACATTTACATATATATACATTAATTTTTCTATTGTAACATAATATAAGAGCATATAATTAACGCTTGACATTGCAAAAAATCAAGGCCTGGACCCTGCTTGTTTTGTGAATGGGTTTGTTAAAATTGTATATGTATGTATTTTTCGAGAAATGACACTTCTGAAGAATTTTTTTTTTTGTTTTTTTTGGAAAAATTATGATTTTTACCTATTTTTTATAATGATTATAAAACTACAAAAGCACTGTATTAAAACTTTTTTATGAACTTTATTGTAGGTCGTGTTTTCTGGACCAATATTTTTTTTAATATCGTATTGTCATTTTTTACTCTCAATTCTCTTTGATATGCTACCTAACATGACGGTTCAAAAAAAAATACGGAAAAAACTCGCAAATATATTTAGTCAAAATTGTAGTTAAAATTTGAATTTTTGATATGATGCTTAGAAAATTCCAAATTTCTTTTTAATATAAGGTTTATATGTGTAAGGTTTTAGTCAATTTTTTTCATACAAAACTCAATGAAAATAGGCAAAAACTCATCACTTTAAAAAAAAAAAAGAAAAGATGATTCAGAAATGTCATTTTGCTATTAAGGCATTCGCTGTTTTAACACATCCATTCACAAAAAGGTTCAAGCCTTGATATTTTTTTAACAGAGATATCTTGTTCGTCTCAAGCCTAGTCATCTATCTGAAATTGTATTACATATGATACGTACATTTTTGTTACACAAACGCTTTTGAACAGGAAAACTCAATAATAGTCAGTTTAATAAAATTTTTTCTAAAATAAACAAATAAGTTATTATGGAATGGACAAGAGAAAAAACTTTGATGCTAATAGATGAATATCAGAAACGAAGAGGTAATATATTAAATTTCAGATTTTTACATTAATTTTGATTTTTTCGTTTGTAAAATCGAATTCTATAATTAAACAAAGTTTATTTACATATGTATGCACATACATTACATGTTATGTAGTTATCATTAAAAATATAGCTTTTATTTAATATTTTAGGTTTGTGGGACATGACCCATGAGGACTACAGAAAAAAGTGCATAAAACGTCAATTGTTAAATGAGGTTGCTGAAAAAGTTAATATGAAAGTCCCAACCAATGAAATTGAAAAGAAATTTCACACTCTTCGGACTCAGTATCATCGCGAAATAAACAGAATGAAGCAGTTTCCCGGCGATGAGTACAAATCGAAGTAAGTTCTAAGAGAAGTCATTTAAAATTAAACCGTTTTCTTTTACATGTGCACATAATTTTTTTAAGGTGGTTTGCATTCAGACACCTGGAATTTTTAAGTTCCCCAAAAGCTTGTAGAGGTTCGAAATCAGATTCTAAGGGAGAAAAATTAAATATCAAAAAAGAAAGTTGCTCGCCAGCGACATATATAATAAAACAATTACAACAGGAACATGAAAGTTCCTACAATGGAATGGACGTCAAGCAAGAAACACAGAGGTTGGTTCAGCATGATCAGCACTCTACTACAGCCACTGAGTACCTTTCAGTTCCAAAAAAAAACATTGCAAATAAAAGAGATATCAGTGAATCTAGGAAAGACTTTGAAAAATTAATTCAAGAAACTACCAAAGACGTTGAAGAAATTGAAGAAGATATTGATCAGTCCGACTATAAGCTTCGAATGAAAGCAATACCAGTTCAAAACAATTACACTGCACAAAATATTCAAACTATCGAACATTACATAGACGAACAAGATGAGGATCAGTCAAACACACAGGATCCTAACAGCAATGCGTCAATCTTGCATCATGATGATAACGAATATCATTCAAATGCACCGTCCACTATTATACGAATACAAAAAAGGGATCTAGGTGCTATTGATAAGCTTTATGAAGATTCTTATGAAACAAAAAAAACGAAATGTAACGTTCTGTATTCTGGAGTTCGAGATGAATACGCAATATATGGAGAATATGTGGCAAACGAGATGAGAATGATAACAGCAAAAGAAGTTTTAATCAATTTAAAACACAAAATAAATTTAGCATTATTTGAAGCCAATATGTCTCAACTTAATAAAGAGCGTGTTTAATAAAAATTTAGTTTTAAAATATTCTCAAATTAAAGATGAACAGAATAATATTAAATATATCAGATAGAAGATACATAGCAAGAGGTATTTTTTTGGAGTGTACACATTCATTTATAGTTGATTAATCTGTGACGCTATTCGCTATGATGAAAATGGATATTTCACTACTTCGCTAGAGAAGGGTCTTAAAGTCATATTAAAATTCCCTAAATTGGCATAACAAAAATATCTGTTATATTAAAAATAAGTTTCTGTCAGCCGTGTTCTCTAATAATAATTATGTTTTAGGTGCAAATAACATACGTGAAAGGCTAACGTGTCAAATACATATCTAAGTGCCAGCTATTTACAATAATTCGACATGCATGTAATTAAAAACAAAAAAAACGTTTCAATCGGTATAAACCGACTGAATAATACCCTGCATTTTGACAATCTTAGTTTAAATTGCAATTAGTGACAATCTGAGTTTTAGCTGATTGCTAAATGGTAATTACTTGAATCTGAGTACTCGAACCTGTCAAGCAATTCCACCAAAACTTCAGAAATATATCTGATCTAAAATTGGACAAACGACTGCCGAGTTTCATGAATTTAGCTTAATATTTAAATATTTAAAATTAACTTTCTGAATTGTTTGGTAGCTTCCCGAACCTGCCAAGCACTTCCACCAAAACTTTAGGAATATATCTGATCTAAAATTGGACACACGACTACAGAGTTTCACGCACCTAGCTTTATTATTTTTCCAAATATTCGAAATTAACTTTCAAAGTTGTATGGCAGCTACCCGAGCCTGTCAAGCAATTCCATCAAGACTTCAGAGATTTATCTGACCTAACAATGGGAGTTTAAATTTATTATTCTTTATACGAAATTTATAGAATAAAAATAATTACAATTATCTTTCTTTTTAATCTTCGAAAAAAACTGAAATCCTATTCTAAATTTTTCAAATTATTTTTTAAATTTTGTTTATATTACTTTAGTCTTTTAATTCCTAATGCGTTAGGATTAAATCCTTTTTTAAATATTTTATGCATATGGTAGCCCATTTAAACGCTTTCTTTTTTTAATTCATGCAGGTAGCTTTCAATTTGAATCAACTAGTGCAATCTTTCAATTTTCTTATTTAGGTAGATTTTTAATTTGGTAACTTTCATTTGTATTGCATTTATATTAGGCAATGGGCACGTGTGACTTAGGTAAAAAGCGATCATAATTATTATCCTTTTTTAAATATTTTATGCATACGGTAGTCCATTTAAATGCTTTCTTTTTTTTTAGTTCATGCAGGTATTGACCATTTAGGAGAAAAAGAAAGAAAGGGTAGGAGGAAAGAAAAAATGAAGAAAAAAATTCAAATTCATATTTTAGTATGGTTTCAAATGTTAATGAGGAAGGATGTATGATTTTTCAAGTACATTTTGTGTTTCCCACTAAGGTAAGTTGAGTTGTGTCGGCTAACAAAAATGTTAATATAGGTTGACACATTTCAATAATTTGAATTATTTCTTTTCGGTTATTTATACGTTACTTATAGAATTGTTTCAAATAATTTCAGTTAGTTTTTAAGTTATTAAAAAAAAATATGTATGTACCTACTTCCAATCAGTTTTTTTTAAGTAATTATTTCAAAACTATTTCAAACATGTTATATTGAGTGCTTTAAATATCTCTTTGTGTTCTTTCATATTTTATTAGCAGGCAAACAAGAGCAATCTATTTATAAAATGGCCCTGTCTGTTTATGAATCTTAATAGTAAACGCAAACGGACAAATATTTACATTAGTAAATTAAAAGATTAATGCCCTTATATCTAACAAGTCCCAATGCTCAAAGAGAAACTTGAAAGCACTACCTTATTTTATATGGGTTTTTTTTAAATCGAAGTGGCTTCTTTTTGAGAAGAAATATTAAAATAAATTCACACTTATCATAAATCAGGTAAAAATTAGAAAATATATTTGAAAAATCAAGAAAATATATTAATATTTTCATTCAGAATTATTTTAAAATTCTTGAAACAGCGGAAAAACAACAAGCACAACCTTCGCCTTCAATGTTTTATATGTTATTGAAAGCATTTCATTATTTTTAAGTGAACAGCTTTTTTTCCTCATAGGGTAAGTTAACTCAAGATATGGGAAGTAACTGTGGTGCCAAGTTGAAAATATATTTAATGATAGATAATTATTAAATATTGATATAAATACGTAGTAAAGAAAAAATTTTTAAAGGGAATTAGAAAATAATATCTAAAATACAATCAAATATTATTTTTTAAATACAAATTTTATATACACTTCTAAATTTTACCTCTATTTGGGAAAAATTTTTAAACTTAATATATTACCTAAGTCAAAAAATATTTAAAAGGTTTTGGAAAATAATATATTTTCCAAAAGAAACAATAATATATTTTTATGACCGGATTCGAATATCTTTTTTATTTTTGAAATAAATATTATCATAGCAAATGACTCAAAAACTCCGATTGTAAAATGACAGGTAGTAGGTACTGATGTAAATTTTTGCCCGTTTTCGTTTACTATTAAGATTCATGCACAGGCAGGGCCTTCCTCATTAACATTTTAAACCATACTGAAATATGAATCAAAGTATATCTACTAATAAGTAATTCGACTCGTTCCATTCCGTTAGTTTTCATTTGCATTTTGCTTCCAAATTCTTAAAATATTCCATTTTTTTTAGAAATAGATGGTAATAAGAGTTGTGTAGGCAAGAAAGAAACAAAATATTGTAAACAAACGAGTGTATGAAAAACATTGAAATAAAATAAAATTAAATTAAGTTAGGTAAAAATTTTGTTATTTTTATTTTGATAATAAAAAAATTTATTTTTCATTTTATAAAATTTAGGTAAAAAATTGGAATGTATGAAAGCAAAAGAGTTTGAAATTTCATGTATGAATGTACACATTCATGTACCTGGTACAGTAGATTCACAGTATCAGGTAGCGATATAGAAGTAAAGTAATTTATAAAGAAAAAAAAGGTGTATGCATACTGATCACTTTATGAAATATAATCATTGCAGATTCATAGGAAATATGTTTTAAATCTATTAAGATTGAAAAAATAATTTATTTATTTTATTTATTAATAATAATTATTAATTACAAATGTTTAACACTAAAAATTTAAAATACAGTAGCCACGCGTTTATATGAACTAATTTAAGCAAAGCCAATTCATATAAACGAAGTTTTCATATAAGTGGGGGTAAATAAAAGACATTATTTTTACGCTAATTGAATGTGTTATGTTTAATCTCAAATAAAAAAAAAAACACAATTTATAATTTCATAAATAAAAACAAAAACATTCAAAAAACAAAGTTAAACTGATTTTAACCAATACGTATGTAGCCTGAAATTTTTTTTTGAACACAAGGTGCTTGTATTTGTTTTAAAACAGCTTTTTCTCGTAACTTTGCTATATTCATTTGCTAAATTAGTTACAGTTGTACCTTTTTTTAATTTTTCTATTATACACTGTTTGTCATTAAGCCTTAAAACTTTGCGTATTTTACGAACCATAGCCAAAATAATACTGACCTACAACAATATTGCTTAAAACAAAACCAAAAATTGAAAAGTTTATTTATTTTTAAGATCATGTATGTACACAAAAAAACCGTTCAAGAATCAACATGCAGTTTCCCTGATAGCAAAAATTCGGCGATTTTACCAAAGCATAAATTTCATATTCTTCATATTTTTGGTACCGTAAATTTTTATTTGTATTTATGTGATTACGATTTTAAATAGAGAAAAAAAATGTTCATATAAAAGAGTGTGAATTTTTTAAGTGTTCATATAATAGAGTTGTTAATGTTAAAAAATCACTATTCATATAATCCCGATGTTCACATAAAGCGATGTTCATATAAACGCGTGACTACTGTATTTTCAAAAGTACATATTTACCTCTTCACATCTTTTGGCAACAAATGAAATTTTGGTGTCGGCTTTTTTCATCCCAAACACTTCAAATACTGTTTACCCATTATAAAATTTTTTTTTTTTTTCACAACTACTTAAAATTTTTTTTTTAATATTATACGTCTTTTTAAAATTTATTTTCATTATTTTTCATATAAATTATTTTTTTTTTTTTTTTTAATTTGTAACTAAAACTGGTCCCAAAGGACCAACCATCAGCATTATTTTGTTGATCTTATAAGCTACTTAATGTAAACTTCAGGTAACCCAGTGGTCCCCCCAAGTTGAATCTGATGTATCAGGCATGCCCATATGTGCCAGTTAACAGAAGTTGGTTAGATCAATTGGTTTGGTTCTCTTGAGTCTTCTTGTGATATGAGACTCGTCAAGAAGCCGTTTGGCTTCAGCGTTGACGTGATCTCGTAACCTGTTGTTATTGGCCGCAATTTCAATTTCATTTTTGACAAAATTAATTTTTAAATCTCTGTGAAGGTCGAAGTTACGAACGTACCAAGGTGCGTTGACCATGTTTCTCAAAACCTTGTTTTGGAACCGTTGTATTTTCTGAATATGTGTCTGCTTTGCGCATCCCCAAAGTTGTACGCCGTATAGCCATATTGGTTTTATTACCTGGTTATAAATCAATATCTTGTTACCTATTGAAAGCTTGGAGTTTCTACCCAATAGCCAATAAAGTTTGCTGTACTTCAGATTCAGCTCGGCTTTTTTTATTTTGACGTGCTCTTTCCACTTTAACTTTGTGTTTAGAGTCATCCCTAGATACTTTGCGGTTGTCTGGAATGGGACTATTGTGCCGTTTATGTAGATAGGTGTGTGCTGGTTTATATGTTTATTTGTAAAGTTGATGTGAACTGACTTTATCTCGTTTAATTTAATGTTCCATTTTTTTGTCCAATCGTAGACAAGGTCGCTGGCCTTTTGTAATTTGCTTGCTGCTTTATTTGGGTCGGCATCAGTTGTTAGCAAAGCTGTATTGTCAGCAAAGGTGGCCACAACAACGTTTTCTGGTACCGGAAGATCGCATGTATACAATAGGTAGAGGATGGGGCCCAGGATACTACCCTGTGGAACTCCGGCTTCGATGTTGTACAAACTTGAATATTCGTCTCTTACCTTTACTCTGAATACCCTGTCAGACAGATATGATGCTAAAAGACTCATATACTGTTTAGGCAAACAGTTGCCAAGTTTGACCATAAGGCCCGCATGCCACACCTTGTCAAATGCCTGGGCTACGTCGAGAAATATGGCAGAACAAATTTGTTTTTCTTCTAAGCATTGTTCTATTACATCTGTAATGCGATGAATTTGATCAACCGTTGAGTCTTTCTCCCTAAAGCCAAATTGATGGTTGGGGATGATATTTGAACTTTCGATAATTGGTTTTAGTCTTCTCAGAAGAATTTCTTCGGAAACCTTAGAGATCAATGGCAGGAGTGAAATGGGCCTGTAGGATTTTACGTCGTTTGGCGGCTTTCCAGGTTTTTGTAACATAATTACCTCTGCCACTTTCCACATGCTGGGGAAATGTTGCAAGCGAAAAACTGCATTTATTATAAAAGTTAGAAATTATTGTGTCGCTTTTAAAATTCTTTATATTTTTCCCTATACTTTATATAAGAACAAATAATAAAGTGTCGCCTTCAAAATTACATTATAAAAAAACAGGTTGACATCTATTGCGTACTATTTCCCTCTCCCAAAAATTCTTATGTGTATAAAAATGAAAATAAGAAGGTATACTGCTTAACTCTTTTAACTAAGGGAATTTTTTGTATACAAATATTGGTGAGTGATTGCATTAGTGTGATGTAAATGGAGTCGAACTACTTGTTAGTAGATATGCTTTGATATGAATTTGTAAAATTTGTCAAAAATTCGTAATATTTCGTAAAAAAATTGAGTATTGGGACTTGTTAGATATAAAGACATTAATTCTTTTTAAAAAAATAATAAGAAATATGACATGATGAGTAGCATTTAAAGAAAAAAACAGGAACGAAGCTAAAAGTTCGTAGTATTTCGAAAAAAAAATTTAGTGTTTGGACTTTAGACATAAAGACATTAGTATAATATCCTGAGATTTTTTAAAATATTAAAGTCTTTTTTACGTAAAAAAAAAAGAAAAAAATAATAAGAAATATGCACGATCAGTAGCATTTAAAGAAAAAAACAGGAACGAAGCCAAAAATTCGTAATATTTCGTAAAAAAAAAATGAGTATTGGGACTTGTTACTAACAAGTTGTTAGATATAAAGACATTACTTAAACAAAAAATTTTAAAAAATGCTGCCAGTTTAAATTTTTCGCGATTTATTCCAAAGTTTTAAGACAATATGAAATTGAATTGGATAGTTTGCCGAAATCCGCATAAACAATATTATTCTTTAAGTAAATGCTGTTTTCTCAATAAACCGCTCAATATTAGAATGTTTAAAACGCAGCAATCATTAGAAAATACACATTTTATGGGTAAAAGTTTTAAATATTTTTTATAAATCAAAAAATCATCAGTATCAACATATTTTATTATATACATATGTACATACCACATGCATATTTTAATAACAGCATTTGAAATAAAATTTTAAATTTTATATAATCAAATATACGACTGTATAAAATTAATGTTTTACCTCCTAAGGCTATGATAGTTGGCTTGAAACCAATTTACAGTATCTTTCAACGCTGTATCAAAATTTGTGAACTGAAAGTCTGGATATAAAGCTCTTAGCTTCTTGTTCGAAGCAGTCTTCTTGAATTGTCCGTCAGCTTTATTAGTGTCGAATTCCAATTTCCCCTAAGAAATAAAACATAGCCAAGTTTTACAAATGAAAGCAAAATTTCAGACTTTACCTTAAAATTGAACGCCATAGCTAAAGATTTTGCTAATTCAGCAATGGAAACTTCATTTTGCTCATCTGTGGATAATATAATTGGGTCTACAGAATTATAATTTCTCAAAACCCAAATAATTAATTTTGCTAAATCGAGGGAATATATAAATTGCCGTAAAGGTTTACCGCTTCCATAAATTTTGAAAATCTTAAAGCTTTCCTCAATATCTAAATTTTCTGTTTTAAGCTTATACATTCTATTAATCATGCCAGGTATAACATGACTTATTTCTGAATTAAAATTGTCATGAGGTCCAAATATATTACACGGTATAACTGATGTGAATATGCATCCATGTTTATCAAAATAACCACGATTTTCAATATCTATTAATCTTTTGGCATATGCATATCCATAATTAGATTGATGCGGCGGCCCATCGTGAATCATTGTTTCATCAATTGGGTAATTTGTTTTATCAGGAAATATGCATGTTGATAAGCATGAAATTACTTTAGTGCAACCATAACTATGAGCTGTTTGTAAAACATTGTCGTTGATGTGCAAATTTTCTCTAAGGAAATCCAAGTTATTTTTCATGTTATGGAATAATCCTCCCACCTTTGCCGCTAAATGAATTACATGAGTTGGTTTAATTTTCTCAAATAATATTTTAGTTTCATTTATGTTTCTTAAATCTGCGTCTTTGGAACTAGCAAAAAACCAAGTTTCTTCACCTGCTGGCTTTTCCGCACGTACTTCCTCTTCCAACGCTTTTCCCACTAAACCGGTACCTCCCGTAACAAGAACAATTACAGCACTCATTTTCAAAACGAAAATAAATGTATGTGTAAAATGAAGGGCAAGGAAATATTAATCCCTACGTCAGGAAAATATGACACTAAGAAATATTCATATGCAATATACATATGCATATACGCTACTGAAAGCAATGTTTTAATCAATGTAAAATACATATGTACGTTCCACTAAGTCTATTCAATAACAAAAGGTGTTCACCAAAGTATATGTATTAATAAGTAGTTCGACTCTCCGTTTACATCACACTAATGCAATCACACCAATTTTTGTATACAAAAAATCCCCTTAGTTAAAAGAGTTAATAATAAAAATAAATTTTAAAAAGACGTATAATATTAAAAAAAAATTTAAATAGTTGTGAAAAAAAATATTTTACAGTTTTTTATGAACCATCGAAGAATTTCATGGATAATTTAAAGATTTTAGAAAATACTTTCATTAACCTTTTTAATGATATTTGTACAGAAAAAAATTTAGAATATAAAATATATGAACACTTAAAAAATAATTTCAACTATGAATGTTGTGAGAAGTCCGACAAAACATATTTCATTAAACTGTATATTAGAATTAGAATTTACCACATAATAAAAAGTTTTAATAAAACTATAAAACAATTTGATATAAAAAAAAAATTTATTGTTAAGCATTTGTAATTAATAATTGTTAATAAATAAATTAAATAAATTATCTTTAAATTTTTTATTTCAATCTTAATGAATTTAGAACATATTTCCCATGAATCGGTACATTCGGAATTTAGAACATATTTCCCATGCATACACCTTTTTTTCTTTATAAATTACTTTATTTCTATATCACTGATACTGTGTATCTACTGTACCAGGTACATGCAAGTGTACATTCATACATGAAATTTCAAACTCTTTTGCTTTCACACATTCGAATTTTTTACCTAAATTTTATAAAATGAAAAATAAATTTTGTTATTATCAAAATAAAAATAACAAAAGTTTTACGTAACTAAATTTTATTTTATTTTAGTTCAATGTTTTTGATACACTCGTTTGTTTACAATATTTTACTTTCTTTCTTGCCTACACAACTCTTATTATCATCTATTTCTAGAAAAAATGGAATATTTTAAGAATTTGGAAACAAGATGCAAACAAAAACTAACGGAATGGAACGAGTCGAATTACTTATTAGTAGATATACTTTGGTTTGACCTTTAGCTTTTGTCAGTGCAGTAACAAATACGATACTGATGCTGAAGACTTTGAACAAATTTCATTAAATTAATATTAATATTTTAGATTGTTTTTTAGTTAAAGTTACTAATTTTAAGTAATGACTAGAATTAGACTAATAAAGTCTAATTTGGAGTAATGACTAGAATCGATGGTGAAATAGAAACTACTAGTCATGTGTCGTTCGCGAACGAACTAATCTTAATGAACGAATCACTTCACTGAACTTAGCTGATTAATTCACTTTTTTAAAAATGAATCGTTCATCGTTCTTTAAGAATTCCAATTTTCTTTTTTAGTTATTGAAAAAAATCACCGTTTATACATAATATTTTATTTACAATTGGTAATTCATATAGATTTTATATTTTTCTTTATTTCTTTCTGTATTAATATTACAGAATAGAAGTAAAATTGAACGTTATACTAAATCCAATACTCATAAAAACGAACGACATACTCCTACAATATGCAATATTGATAAAAGCAAATCAGAACTAAAATAAATGACATTCTATGCACACAAAAATTAGCGAATCAGTTGCCAATACAAATTCAATACAAGAAAAATTGAACGATATACTAAATCAACATAAATAAAAACGCGTGACCTAAATTAATAAAGTCAATATAAAACAATACAAGTGAAAACGAACGAGAACTGATCAAATATAAATAAAATACAATACAAATAAAATTGAGCGATTCACGTCACACGCGCCTGTTACCAAAACAAATAAAGGTAACCAAATTAAAATCTACCTAAATAAGAAAATTGAACGATTGGATTAATTTAAATTGAAAACTACCTATATTTAAAAAAAGGGAGCATTGAACTGGGCTACCATGTTTCATATTTATCCATAAAGTATTTAGAAAAGGGTAATAATTATGATAGCTTTTTTGCCTAAATTTTTAAATAAACGAAAAAACTAAAAAAAAAATTAATCAGCATAAGTTAACATTATAACCTATCAGGAATTAAAGTAAAATATTAAAGTAAATTAAACAAAAGTTTAAAAAAATTAGGATAGGATTTCAGTTTCTTCGAGAATTAAAAATAAAGATAATTACAAATATTTTATTCTATAAATTTCTTGTGAGGAATAATAAATTTAAACTTAAATAATTTAAAACTTTTATTTCTTCAAATTCAAGAAATTATTTATAATATAACAATTTTTCAAGAAAAAGTTTTAAATTTTTCTCTACGTTTTAAACTTATTGGTTTATATAAAACATTATAGAAACATTTTGTGGTTCAAAACTTATTACTAATTTACAAAACCCATTTCTTAAAAATGTACCATAAATACGAATAGCCATATAATTATAACCAAAAAACATGCAATTATATATACAGAAGGGAACGGACTGAACGGAGGAAGCGAACGAAATGAAGGACTGAACGATATTTTATATTTCGGTCAGTGAAAAAAGTAGTTCGTTCAGAACGAATCACTGAAATGAACGATATGGCCCATGACTAGAACCTACTACAGTTGGTGTAGTTCTGTGGCGATATAAGAATATTAAAAATCGATATATAAATAATTTTTCTCGATATTTACTAGACAACTTTTAGTGATGAGAGCTATCAAATAATTTGATTTATACGCAAAAAATTTATTCAATTTGTAAAATTGGGTAAAATTGAATTTATTCGATATATTCGATAGTGCTTTTCCTATCGAATATTTTGATTTTTTTCGTTAAATATTTTTGGTTTTCTTCTTAACTTGTACAAAACAACACGATAATATAATCAACATTTAAACAAAATAATGGAATAATAGTTGCTAACTCAAATTGGCAGTATTCTTGGAAACTTCCAAAGGGAACTTTTTACCATAGTATATCCATTAATAAGTAATTCGACTCTCCGTTTATATCACTATATAAAAAATTCCCTTAGCTAGAAAAGTTAAGCAGTATTCCTTCTTATTTTCATTTTTATACACATAAGAATTTTAAGGAGAGGGAAAAAGTACCTGTTCCCTCTACCTGTTTTTTTATAATGTATTTTTAAAAGCGGGAGTTATTTATTTTTTCGTATAAGGTATAGGAAAAAATATTAAGAATTTAAAAGGCGGGTGTTTTATTTTTGCAACTTATTTCAGTACAAGGTGGCAAAAAATGTGCATTATATTATAAAAGCGAAGAACAAACAAGTGTTTAAAAAAAATTATTATAATTTATATAATATAATTTTGAAAAAAAAATAAAAATAAATTTTGAAAAGACGTATAATATTAAAAAAAATTTAAATAATTGTGAAAAAAATATTTTTTTTTATAAAAATGGGTAAGCATTATTTGAAGTGTTTGGGATGAAAAAAAGCCGACACGAAAATTTCATTTGTTGCCAAAAGATGTGGAGAGGTAAATATGTACTTTTGAAAATATTTTGAATATTTAGTGTTAAGTATTTGTAATTAATAATTTTTAATAAATAAATAAATTAATTATCTTTAAATTTTTTATTTCAATCTTAATAAATTTAGAACATATTTCCCATGAATCGGTAATAATTATATTTCATAAAGTATTAATCAGTATTCATACACCTTTTTTTCTTTATAAATTACTTTATTTCTATGTCACTACCTGATACGGTGTATCTACTGTACCAGGTACATGTATTTGAACATTCATACATGAAATTTCAAACTCTTTTGCTTTCATATATTCGAATTTTTTATCTAACTTTATTAAATTAAAAATAAATTTTGTTATTATCAAAAATTTTTACGTAACTTAATTTAATTTTATTTCAGTTCAATGTTTTTGATACACTCGTTTGTTTACAATATTTTGTTTCTTTCTTGCCTACACAATTCTAATTGCCATCTATTTCTAAAAAAAAACGGAATATTTTAAGAATTTGGAAGCAAAATGCAAGCGAAAACTAACGGAATGGAACGAGTCGAATTACTTATTAATAGATATGCTTTGGCATACACTACGTGCTCACTTACGTATGTAAGTGGAAAAATGCGTACCGCATACACCTATTTTTTATATTTTAATACGTTGATATTCTTACGTATAACCAAATTGATACACGCAGATCATATATGTACCATGATTTTATGTGATTTTATATAATATATAAGAAATCAGTTTTGCATCTAATTAAATAAAAAATCCGTCATGTTTCTAAATAATTAAAATATAAATTTGTTTGCAACTATTTGTGAATAATAAAATAAAATGAAACTTATTTGTAATTGAAAAATACGAACTTAATTTTTGTTTGTTTTTTCATTTTCTTTTTTAAAATTAAAAAGAAAAGAATTATAAAACTGACGCATTCCACAAGATTCCGACTCTGCCACAAAATTAATAATAAATTAACATTAACTACAAAATAAAAGCGAGAAAAAATAGAGTTGACCTGATGTGACTCAGTGATACCCGTACGAACTCGTGCGGGTAAATATGCCATGGCTGACTATGGGACAGACTACGATTTTAAGTTGCCGTATGTTAATTTATGTAACTTACCATGTTAATTTATGAAAAACGTCAGTACTGTGTTTTCAATATTTTGTAAGATATGGACTAACTATTATTGAAGTCGTATGATAGCTCTCATGAGATCTCAACAATTTTTAATGAATATAACTGCCATTTTACCTTTTTTATATTAGAAAATTTGAGTATTGTAGGTTGAATAGTTTTTAAGATATAGCCAAATAACTTTTCAAGTTGTATGGCAGCTACCAGAAGGAGCCAAATAATTTCAACGACTTTTATAAATCAGCGGCCCTAATAAAATATTCACTTGTGAAAGGTTGGTGAACTTTATTGAATTAGTTTTTGAGTAATCGTTGGGACGGACGGATGGAGGAGTAGATAAAGCTTATTAAACTCAGAATTCGACGCTAATCAAAAACATATTTCAGTTTATATCTTAGACCATTATTTCTTAGCGTTGCAAACAGTATGGCATATTTAGTTTACGGTATTCCGTAATAATAACTGTTAATAATAATATAAACAAAAATACGTTTCTTTTGTGTTAGTGCAAAGACTTCTGTTAAAAGGTTTGTTTATAATCGGTATGGAACCAAAACCAATTGCTGGTGTTATTGACCAATACAAAAAGAAAAGCCAAAAATAGTCGCGGTCAAATATCAAAATTTATAAGACGTTCATGTAAATATCAGTGATGCGAAAATAAATAAATAATGTGATGCAGTATTTGTGTTTCTATATTTTTTTTCTATTTGACTAAAATCATCACTAAAATCACAATGAGTGGCGCTCTGGTCTGCAACTGATCCCCGAGGGACGGCAGAAGCTACATGTGCTGCCTTGCACGAGAGAACTATTCTCAAAGGCTCGGAGAAGAAAACTCCGAAATAGAACAAAACACATACAGTGAACAAAACAAAAGGATTGTATACCTCAGGTGGTAATCCAGTAATACTGGAAATCCACACTCTTCGAAGGCTGGTTTCATTGCATTGCATAGTAAGTAGATCGGCGTTGCTAGACCTATTTAGATGGAGATCGGGGGTCATGCGAAAAATGGAAAAATCTTCTGAAATAAATTCAGAGAAAACAGTTAAAAAAATAATGAAATCAGGCCTAAAATGACGGCAAAAAATTCAAAGAAGCACAAGTCTCCCCTGGTTGTATTAAGCAACATTAAGAACTACTCCAATATAGTTAAAATATTAAAAGAAGAAAAAATAAACGTTAGGGTCAACATGATGAATAATGATCAATTAAAAATAGATGTGGAGAGTGAAAATGAATATGGATTGCTAAGAAAAGCTATAAATAAGGCTAGGCTGGAGTAGCACACGTACGAGAATAAACTGATAAGGCCAGTTAAAGTTATGGCTAAAAAACTCCATCCATGGGTTTATTAGCAAAGGCTTTAAATATCTAGATATTACAAATAAAATTAAAAGAAAAAAAGAAAATAGAAAATATATTTCAGTAAAACTTTTGCTTCTTATGTTATCTTTTGACCATTCGGAGGACAACCAAAATCTATAAAATAGATGTAAGTATTTTACAGCAAATGATGGTAAAAATTGAAGCTCTTAGAAGCAGCAAGTATATTCTGCAATACAAAAGATGCTAGATTTGAACACACAAATTTTTGCCAAAGAGAAGCTAAATTTA